CCCCCTCGTGACCAAACCATACTTGGTTTGGTCCGAATCTGACCAGGGAAGCATGAATCCCAGATCTGAGTTTTGGAAATTTTGTAGTTCTTCGTCACTGGTTCAACTGAAGAGATTAAGGTCTAATGGACTTTAACCAAAGTGTTTCTCATCTGAGAAACACTTCGATTAAAGTCCGTTAAGCCTTAAGAAAGGTCTGTCCAAATCCGATTTCAAACTTTTGATTTTTCGAGTTTTAAGGTGAATTTGCTTTTTTCCTTTTACTTGTTTTAGTCCGTGTGATTTGTTTTAAAAGTCTGTTCATATTTGTTTTAATTTTATCAACTTTTGTTTGTCCACTTTATCTGAACCTCTGTGTTTGTCTAAATCCCCCCTCCTATTCTGATAAGGCATTATGTATTTGTTGTGCAATTAGTTTGAATTTCAAGTTTGGACTGACTAATTGACTCCTCGAGTGCATTTCTGCTTAGTCAGTATAATTCGAACCATGTATCGATACTGTTTAAATGTCTGATTTTTTGCTACGATTGTGTATGTTAATGCTAATATAGTCGAGTCGACATTTGTCGTCAATTAGTTTCAACTGTCCGAACAATAACAAATCGACTTACTTCTGCTAAGCATTTGTTGAATCAATTAAGAACCAGTTTTGTTTACTTATAGCTGTTGATTTGGATCAGTAATGTAAAAGGGATGTTTGGTTTAAATGTTGAATTGGAGGGCATGTGCACTCTTGCACAGCATGTGCATTGGTGCACCTCATGTGCTTTGTGCACTACCTGTGGCCTGCATAAAGGTCTTTGCTGATTTTAAAATGGTTTGACAGCATATGTTGTCAGATATATTCTACTGCCCCATACCTTGCTTTAGTTTAAGAAATATTAAGCCTTTTAAAGTTAAGCCTGCCAAGGGAATGATGGGGTTAATATTTAAATAACTAACTGGAATCTGAAAATGNAAAAAGAGGCCGTTAAAAGGAGTAGTGTTGAGGCTTATAAAAAGGGGCACATTGAGAGATATAAAAGAGGGATATAGATATACAGAGAGGGGGATAGAGACTGGACCTTGAGAGCTGAAAAAGAAAAACACACACACAGAGAAGAGAGCAAAAGAGAAAAGGATACCACCTGGCATTAAGGAGAGGGATACAGAGTTGGAGAGACACCTAGAGGATTAGAGGCTAGAGAACCCTGAAGATTTGAGAAGAGAAAAGACACACACTGTGA